ACATGTGTTCTGAAAGTATGGCACACTGAAAATATGTACAAGATTCCGATCTAGATGATCCCGTGATAGTCTGGATGACTACTCCAGAAGGTGAAATAAAAATTTTTCAACTTTATTATCGTTATCGTTTGTCAATAATAATATATATATATAATGTATATGTAACAAATTTGTCGAATACATATTGATATTTAATAACTAATTTAAAAATTGCAATTTTTTAATTCTGCTTATTTTCGGCGATGTTTCTTGATAATTTGTATACTTTTTTTGGAACTTTTCTATTTTTACGCACATCCATAACAGTCGGGTCAACATTCTCTTGAGATATCTTACGTTTTCTTTGTTGAATAGATGCTGGTTGCACCTTAATTTTTGCTCCACTTCGTATCGATTTAGCTTGTGTGGTAGAGTTACGTTGATAAAGATAAGAGGCCAACTTCCCATCTGACAAAGATTCGGCTTTTTCATAGCCTTTTTTAAAATATTCGAGACCTGCAAGCAGTTGACTACTATTTTTCACTTTATCGATAATGCGATGAAAAAAATCTTCAATAGCTTCGACACGTGCACTCATATCCACTATGTCAGTAAATTCGCTTCAAAAAAAAAAAAAAAAAATTAGTAACTTATTATCTCTTAACTATTCATATGCTATACTGTATTACCAAATGGTAGCACAATCGCCACTGTCTACAGTAGATGCATTAATATTTTCAGAAGTAAGATCAACATTCTGTACAACTTTATCATTATTAGTTGTTTGACCATTTTCCACTATAACAGATGCACGTAAAGATACATAAAATGTAAAATCTTTTGCGATAGTCCCTTTTAAAAATGCGTACAATTATTATTAAAATATATAATAATAACATTCTCTTATACAAATATAATTATTTAAGTTTACTTACCACAAGCAATATAGTAGTAGATCATACAGTCATCAATAGTAAGAGCGTAAATAAAATTAAATGATCCTTCATGATATTTAACTACAACAGTGGCTTGGTGTTTACAAGGTGATCCTTCAAGCGCAGCAACACATGTGCATGTCCTAATAGATGGATTGACTATATAAGTTTTACCGATAGTCGTGACACTTGGTACTATGTATATATTATTATTTATATCGTATTG